GGCCCTTCGTGCTGCAGATGATGGCTCCATTCTCCCCCGCCTGCTCGTCCCTCTGATTATTGTCACCATCTGGTCCACCCTCATTACCTGCCTCTCCAAGTTTGTCTACAACCTTGGTGTCCAGTCCATCCTTCTCACCGTCCTCGGTTTCGTCGTCGGTCTTGGCCTGTCTTTCCGATCATCCACCGCCTATGAACGTTATGCCGAGGGCCGCCGCTACTGGGCTCAGCTCATCCACGTCTCGCAGACGCTCGGCCGCGTCTTCTGGATCCACGCCAAGGAGCACCCCGAACTGGCCAAGAAGGACATGATGCTACGCCGCGTGAGCTGCCTGAACCTCGTTCTTTCCTTCTCCGTCGCGCTGAAGCACAAGCTCCGCTTCGAGCCGTACACTGTCTACGAGGATCTCCAGCACCTCGTCGGTCACCTCAACACCTTCGCCAAGACGGCCGCCGCCACTGATCCCCAGTGCACCACTCTGCCCAAGAAGAACTTCTTCAAGGAAGTGGGCGAATACCTCGGCGTCTCCTTCGCCGAGTCCAACCCTCGCAAGGCTCTCAAGAAGGCTACCTACCCGCTTGGCAACCTTCCCCTGGAGATCATCTCGCATCTGTCTGTCATTGTGGACGCCATGGTTGCCGACGGCCAGCTCCCCGTTCCCATGCAGCAGACCACTGCGTACACCAGTCTGACTCTGTTGAACGACATCATGACCGGTACCGAGCGCGTCCTCAACACGCCACTGCCCATCGCCTACTCGATTGCCATCGCACAGATCACCTGGCTCTACGTCCTTCTGCTCCCCTTCCAGCTGTACAAGACCCTCGAGTGGATCACAATTCCCGCCTGTATCGCTGCCAGCTACATTATTCTCGCTATCCTGTTCATCGGCAAGGAGATTGAGAACCCCTTTGGCCGCGATGTCAACGATCTTCCTCTCGAGGGGTACTGTGAGCAGATTGCCCACGAACTCGACGTCATTGCCGCCATGGATGTGCACCGTGACATGCCCTACGCCTTCCTCGACTCCCACCTCAACCTTCCCCTGTACCCCGTCAGCATGGCTTCTTTCCCCCGTCTGGGCTGAGCGCTCTGAAGAGAAGATTCGCACTGCTATCCAGGGCAAGCCCGTCACGTTGTTCCAGTCCCGCAAGAAGTCTTCGGCTGAGCGCGAGAAGGAGGAGATCGAGCACCGCAAGGCTCGTGAGGGCAGCAATGTTAGCAGCAAGCACCAAGGCGACAACATTGTCTAGTCAGAAAGACAGGAACTTAGCGTTCTTTTCATTATCATTTCTACCAAGACGGACACTGGATCTCCCAAGAGAGGCTTCAGTCCTCGGGTTTTTTTTTCTTCGGGTTGCATATCGCCTTCTCAGGCTGGAACGGACATGGTTAGCAATGGTGTGTGCGCGCATTTGCAAGTCAGGGTGGCTTCGGAAAACAAAATTGACACAATTGGGTGCCTGGTACGGACTGCTCTGTATTTTGTGTAATAACTGCGTGTCTCAATAGTAAGAAATTTGCAGTTTCTACCCTCTGCTCGTCACGATCCTGTGACTTCCAATCTTGGTTTAAATATACCATGCCATGATCCTCATACCCTCCATCGCTTGCTGTACAAACCGAGCTTTCATAGCGAGATGGGTCGAATCACTAGACCTGAGAGGCTCGGGTAGTCGACCACGTCCGCGTGAGGCATGATGTTGCCTGGATTCAGGAATACCTTAATCAACCAAGGTTTTCACCGGCCGATGCGCAATGGCCCATAAAGCTTTGATCAGGGATATGTCTATGATCAGTTTCCATGTACTTTCCCAGGTGATCTTAACTTCCTGCAGCTTGTGCAGTGGCACACCTGGCACTGGAAGAGCGCCACCAGCCCCCTCCGTTCGTATCAAGTCTCTACTTTTCGCGGTTTCGGCATTCTCAAGACTGCTGCCACTTCCACTGCCGCCTGAAGCTTGACTTGCGCTGGGGTAGGATCCTCGTCAAGTGTAAATAGGGTCGAAGTCAGCACCAGCGAGGTCAGATCGGGCCACCCCTCACAGGGCTCGGCCTCGTAGAAGTGGCTCGCATCTGCGATGAAGTATGTTGCGAGATGCCTGAGATTGAGCCTGTTGAGTGCAATGGCGCGGCCGACTACTAGCTGCGGCCCCTTCGTGGCGGGCATCCGAGCATTTCGTGTCCATCTTTCAGATCTCTTTAGCTGTATGTGCACTGCTGATTGAGATTAATAAAGATGGCGAATCTTCTGATATTAACAAGATCAAACGAAAGAAACGAGCAAATCGGGATAGTCTAATAATTTATGAGAATAATTTTGGAAGATGTCGCTGGATAGCTAGAAATGAAGAATAAATAATGCCGACTGGCGGGAGGGCGGAAGGGCGGAAGTCACCTCCACCATCGTGCCTCTGTCTCTTCAGCTCTGATTATTCGGGATGATTTGTGGCGCACGACGATGATCAAGAATTTGCTGATAGCTGGCGGGTAGCTGCACCATACTGCAGACAATGACCTCGGTCATGGTGTGTCGGTGTATATGGCCGTTATTGTCTAGCAACGTCAGTCCTCGATCGCCGCTGTTCGCCGTCACTCCAGTAGCATCGGGCACGTATGTCAGATGACTAAAATTGCGCTCCGCGTCACTGGGCGTGTAAATGCTGAGCTGAGTATCGACTCGCCACCATCCTCCTGTGTGCTGAGGTAGAGAACAGACTGTCATATGCCGTGGTGATGGGGCCATGAGATGTGTTCATGACAACAAACTTGTCGCACCTCTCGTCGATATAAATACTCCTTGAAACTTGACCTGCTACGAGAGAAGCATTCGTCACAGCCGTATCCTTCCTGTTCCAGACCAATACAAATATAGCGCACGAGAGCCCGGACTCGTTGACCCATCGTATCGAAGTCGCCGAGACGCTGTGATGTTAGTCTGATTTGAGCGAAGACGTGACGCTCAAGTTCATTTTGCGATTCCCGAGGCAACGTGGCTCACCGGAACAGTTGGCACTCATTTTGCATGAGGACTTCAAAGATGACGAGTCGGATTTTCGTAGGCATTCTAGCTTATAAACTACCGCACTGCGTCTTCTCTGCATTGCTGAAGGGATTCCTGGAGCTTAACGCCCATTGAATGGAAGTGGTGAGTGTGATGCGCAGGAAAGGAATCAGCAAACGCTAAATCCGTCGAGCGAGAGGAATGCTGCCCCATACGGGTTTGTTCGTTCGCCATATTGGCTCTTTCGGCCGCGCACAGCTTTCAAACCTTGCATAAAAGCTAGATTCAATTATTGGCCTGGCGAGGTGCGGTAATCAGGGCATGTAGCTTTAGTGTCTGAACCTTGGCATTTTACCGTCATGATGACCGACTTCAGCACCGTGCTGACCACTAGGACCACTATCTACATGATATTCTTCACCAAGAGTAAGCGTCTATTTCGAGCTCAAACAAAGCTTTGCCCCTTTTCCCTGCTGCAATGACCGCGGCCGCAGCATCATCGCAGAGACCTCCAGGCCCTGAAACTACCACGCCGATCCTGGACCACCCTAACTGCACTTCTTGGTCAAGTAGGGCATTGAAATCGAGCCTTGATCCAACTCGAACGTCCTTCTCTTCGACCCGGTCAATTGCATTCTCCAAAGCGCGCACAAGACCCTTTGCAGAGTCTTTAACACTCCACGACAACTTGACGTTTGGATGCCTATCGATCCACGGAACGAGGGCCGTGATACCAATTCCGCCGCCGATCAGAAGCAGACGGTCGCACTGTAACACGGGTGCGGTCGAATTATTTGAATACGGTCCGTCTAGGAGGGTGAGGACGTTGTCTTTTGTGGTCAAGGCTTTCGTCAGCCCAGCTGACTTGCGTATGAATAGCGTCAAACCAGCATTTTCCCTGTCAGTGACTGGACTGATTCTGACATCTGCTCGCTCATTTTTCTCAACGTCGTTGCTTGACCTTGTGGGTGATGCGCTGGCCTCAGATGACCGTGCTTTCTCGTACAACATGGTTGTCGGAATGACGGAGAAGGGGTGGTTCTCCCAGGGTCGGAGTCGATTGAGCGTGGGAAAGTATACATATACATGCTGCCCCGGGCTCGCAGCCCACCGAATGCCAGGAACGTCCACTCGAACCACATCTTCATCAATGTTGACGACGTTGGATCGGCGCATGCCATTCTTGAGCACACGCAGCATGCGCATCATCCTGTCAAAGAACCAAACTGCGCATGATGCGTACAGCCACATCTCGTAGCCGAATTTGCGCTGAAAGCGGATGTCGACATGATACCAGCAGCCGGCAATGACGAAGACAGCGAGGAGGATATGGATGACGAGGAATACCTCATACGACTGACGACGCACGTAGAGGTTGCTAGCCACCAGCATGATGACGACTGCCACTGAGGCGACACAACCCCAGATCCAATAAGGAAGCTTCAACTCTTCCGAGTATGTTCCGATATTGGAATAAAGAGCCAATGCTGTGATGGAATGGATGATGACCTGGAGGCCAAAAATGCGGGCGATCCAGCGGTGCAGCAGCATGAAAGTGGAGTGTGACCAATTGCTGAGCCAAAGGAGCACGTTGTTGCGGCCAGCGAATAGAATGACCAGAGGTGACAATGCGAAACCCAGCGTTCCCGTTCGGATCATGACATACTCGAGTATTTCCTGGTATTGGCTCGAGAACCATGCGTTTGGCTGTGCTGATTTGTAGTTGACTGCAGTGAGGATGACGTTCAGGATGATCATGAGGGCAATGTAGGAAGCATGTCCGATGGACGGTGCGGTTCCAATCAAATATGGAAGAGGACGGACTCGATATGTACCGATGAGACTTTGCCAAACGATGTACGGAGCAACCTTGTGGGTAATGCTAGATATGAAAGGCAGATATCCCACAGCGGTGAGAAGAAGAGGTGTTGCGAAGCCGGTGACGAGGATGATGATTCTTTGTGATTTTGATATCAGTCCATACACAAGAAGACCAAGGTGGATCGGTTTGGCTTACCCATATCTCGCATGGATGGCCTCTTCCCGCTCGAAGTATGAAAGGGTTTTGAACTGTACATCCCAATCCTCTTCCGACGTCAACGCTGTGAAATTGAGAGTGTCATGCATTGTGAGGATCTTCGTTGGCGCTTCCTGGACGCTCTGCAGCCCCGCAGAGTAGCTCCATTTGGGTTGCACAGTCGGTTCGCCTGTAGCTTGTTCTTCCCAGAACTTCTGCAGCTCAGAGACTGGAACGTCGAACTCGGCGCAGTTTGATTGTAGACACCACGCCAGCGTGGTTAGGAATGATGTATCATTGGCTCGACATTCGGGCGTCGTCATTGGCATAGAATCCATGCCTTCCATCTCCGTCATCGATGAACATGAGAGTGCGTTGTTGCTGATGGCGCCGTTACAAGCAAAGGCACATGGTGGCTTGTACATGTTGATGCCGGTTCCAACGAGGGCAGCATTGGAGCTTGGCACAATGCACGCCAAGCCCAAGACAAGGGTGGTATAAGACAACATGCTGTAATGAAATCTGCCAAGACGTGGGGTAGGAGGGTCGTACATGTGATGCAGCCAACGATCTGGCCTGGGCACGTCTACTTCTTTTATCAATGCCCACCACAATCTCAATTTTACGCTTTGCAGTGGTCTTACCGCCTTGACTTTCTAGAGCTGGTGCGACATGAAGGCGGAGGTTTGAGAACATATGAGCAAGTTGTTTTGGATGTCCAATCAGCGATGAGACGATGGCGCTGCCATCAACGAGCGATGTCTGGACCGGGCTGGCCTATGACTACTTGGTAAGGCTGACCACGTTATCTCAGATGCCAGGTGTGCTACAGTCCGGCAATTTGGTGCCGATTGAGGTGCAGATGACATGGGTGCTCAAAGGGAAGTAATCTCAAGACAGTGCCATCTACCTAGATTTGGTTCTAGACCTTCATGTTCATGGTCCAGGGACGAGAACAGCGGAATACCAAAGTGGAAGGTCTTTCGCTGATTGGATGATCAGGTCCAAGGCCCGCTGCCCTTCGTTGACATTGTGTTTTGGAGCGTGCAGCGGCAGAAATGCGTAGACTGTGCAGGAATGGGACACACACCACCGCTCATCGCAGCTTCTAAATCTGTTCTATGTCAGGGTGTAGTTTGTAACACATCAATCCTGATCGACACAATGTTTCGGCAATATACTCTCGTTCCTATTGCCTACATTGACCCCAATTAATATCAGCCTCCTGGAACGATGACAACGAATAGCGATCTGGATTTGCACTACGATATTCTCCAGGAGTCAGCGCGACTCCACAAGCACCGTCAGAGCACATTATGAAATCATAATTGTTGAATTCGTCAATGTCTCAAAACACCGTTACGTGCGGTTATTCAAGGTTTTACTTAAATAGCTGTGGACTAGCGCTCATCATGGCGTCGACAATGAGAAAAGAAACATCCATATCTACATTGAAGATCCGCACCCACGACACAGACTTCAACATCAAACCACCACTAGCTTCTGGTCACCGAGAAAACATTGCCATGTGTCAAATCTCTACCCGAGAAGTTCATTGCGAAAATGCGGCGAGGTGTCCATGGTTGAGGATTACATCATTGAATGTCAATTCGTAAGATCGAAGGGGACACAGTGTAGCGGTCGCGGTTTCGTCAGCAGCATGGGTACCTCTAGACCCATTTTCAGAATGATCAAGAAGTGTAAGTGCGACAAAAGTCTCATGAGCAAGCTACGCGGAAAACTAACGGGAAAGTAAAGAGCCAGGATGGATGAACTGACAAAGGCTTCACATCTTGCAGGCAAGGTAGGACGCATATTTCAGTCTCAGAATGATGCCAAGAATCTCATATAGTTATGTTCTATGGTGAGATCGACGTAATGTAGGTTGCTTGAGGTGCTGTAGCAGCAAAAGAGATTAAGAGAAAAGAAAAAGGATTTGGCTACGGCCTTCCTGCTTACCCTCCAGACCTCTGGCATTTGTGCTCTTGCATGTAGGCGCACTTTTCCATAATCACAGGTACATATACTGGAGCTTGTTACCAGACGAAGTATAGTCTGCTGCCCTTTTCGTGCTCTTAGTCACATAGACTTCGCGGCACGCTTTGAATCTCCAAGATGTTCTCATATGACAGCATCGGACGTTGGGCTATAAACCTCTCGCATATCCCTGGAGAAACAAATGAACAGAAACCGTTGTTCCTTCTAAATCGAAATGCTTCTCGATCTGGCCGTTCGGCCATGGATTCTTGCCCATGTAGAAGGAAATACTCCTGACAGCCCACCCAGCACGACACCTCGGACCATCAAACCTTTCCATATGCCCGGCTTGCAAAATAGTGTGACTTCTGCATTTCACAAAGAGAGTCTGTCACCAAGACAAGAATTTCCAGAATGAGCTGCCCTCCAGATTTTACGTTTTTTGCCACTGTTCTTCTGCCTGTATCTATTAAAAATGTGGGCTCCTTGTGGTTGATGTCATCCGAGACCACCACGTCAGCACGTGGGCCTCAGACCCATTTCACGATCTTCCCAACACGAGACCCGGGGAAAACTGTGGGAGTTGCAATCTTTGTGGGAAACCTAGACCCCTCATACGCAAGCCAACCACCCGAAACTCAGGTCAACGAAGCTTAGCATCTTGCATTGTTGGGTAGGTGTTCTCCGCCTCCCCATAATATTTCGACTACATTTAAAATCGCCGATGCAAAGGACTGTCGGTTGTTCGATGACTTGGCTCAACTCGCCACGTCTCGGTCCTGCAATGACTTCCCAACGGTCTGAAGTTCAGTGCCTGAATCCTGACATCTAAAATAATGTTCTTCGGCGTTGAATGATTATTGACTCCTTCAGAAAATATGTGCTGGCTTCAACTAAGCGAGTGTTGTATCTGCATGATTTGTATTAGCCTTGACTGAACAGCAAAGCCGGTCGCCGACCGCCAAGCGCTTTTTTAGGCGAACAAGGACATCGCTGTGTCTCTGCAGAAAGTCACTGGTCCTTCTACCGTTGCGACGATATTACGGCGAGGAGTTAGGAAAGCAGTGTTATAAAACGGTAGTCGCGCTATCGGCCCTTCGGCTTAAGGGCGTAGGAGGATGTACAAATGTGGGATGATCAGCTCATGAAAGCTGGACGCTCTTCGTCTCGGGCCGGTTGAACAGTGAACAAGTTTTCTGCTATCTCTTCCTGTGAGGGGTTTTCGCACACTGTCACTGTACATCAAAATTCCGATCTTGTGCGGCCTCTCGATCTGTGGCAGTTTGGCTGGAGTCGGACTTGCTTCCGACCGACGCAAATCTCCACGACCCTGAGGTGACGGCACTACCGAGGAAATGGCAAATCTCTCAGGTGCTCAGGGATCGAACCGGGCGCAGGAGCCAAGCCCTTTTTCTGGGCATCATTCATCTCTGCCTCCAAGCTGCGGGCGCGTGGGTTTCGCTAGGCGGTCTGAGATCTTATGGTCCACATATTGCGTGAAAACCTGCACAGACCAAAGCAGACGGCAAGTGAACGGTCGATGATGTCGGGACATTTTAAACGCTAGAAGGTTTGTTCAGCCTCAAGGAACCCCTCGAAAGGTTCTCATGGGCCCCCACGGTGACGTCGATCTCCACAGGTCCACTTCACGGTGCCTTACGATCAGAGTTTTAACCCCTTTCAACCAGCGACAGCGTCGATCGTTACCCACCACGAACGCAGACGCCCGGCAGAGGCTTCAAGCACCAGGCGAATCTCACCTCACTAAACCAACTTGCCAAGGCCGCCAACCTGGCATCATATGCAGGCACGCGGCTGCCGAAGTGGTCCCTGATGGATCTGCCACATGAATCCCTCTGGGATGATAGGATCTATCCGTGCCGTGCCAGCATTAATGCCGCCGCGGCGCCTTATCCCAAGCCGAAGAGGTTCCACACCGACGTCATTGCGTACCGATAGTGGTCGTCCAGTCAGGCCGTCGTTTCTGGCGACTGGAGACACGAAAATAAAACACTGGACCTTGTGATAAGATACCGTAAAAGCCTTCATCGCGAGCGCCTCCACCGTGTGTCCCACTGACTCCAGTGTTTCTGTATCCAACGGTGATATCTCAAGGCTGAGTCGTTGAAAGACTGACGAGTGGTCCGCTTCAGGGCTTCGCAATGGCATCTGGGGACCAATTCGTGCCCACCTTCAGGTCCACGTAGCATAGTCGGGTTTGACTCGGGCGGCATTTCATGTTGATGTGAGCTCGGCTGTGACAGATCGTGGTCGAGAAATCAGCGCAATGTGGGAGCAGTCGGCAAACGCGGCCAGTATCGAGAGATGGATTGCGAAGGGAAGCAAATTCGTTCATCAGGGTTTGTACTTAAGGCTTCTCTGCCAGCACTGAAATGGGTTTTACTTTGTCCCCATTCCTATTTCACTCACCCAAACAATTTCCGACATATTATCTTGATACCCAACTCGACAAGAGAAACCTTTATTCAGCGTTGAACTTTTGATCCATA